GAGTGTGTTGTTTACCTCCTGTCTGGCAGGTTACCTGTTAATGCTTACTTGATTGGATACCCTGGGGAGCCTGGCCAGTCTTTTGTAATGATAAATACTTAGTTCCTGAGCCAGGTCACAGGCTCACCCTATTCATACACAGACATACCCTTAAGACAGGATTTGTGAAGGAAAAGACAATGGGGCTTTTCCATTTTCCTTTGACTTTGCCGAGAAAACATTTGGTCAGTTTGGGAGCCAAAATGGCTTCATGTCTGTTTTCCTGTGCTGCTTCAGAGATGTGGGTTATATATTTATGTACGTGTTTGCTTGGTACATTTATGAACATTTATTATATATTTAAGACCTTAAAAGTCTTATCACAAGGCACAGCAGAGACTGTGGAGTCTTTATGATATACATATATCCATATCCATATTTATTTATTTATTTATTTATGTATATATACAACCTGATGGAGGGGCTCACATCATTGACACCCCCAAATAGTCTTGCTTTTCCCATCGCCGCAGCCCAGGATTCAAAACAGGCTCCAAAACTTCTGAGCTTTTCTCCAACTTGCTGACTTTTACAGACGGGAACCTTTCTGCAGAAACCCAGTCCTAAACTATCTCTGAAACTCTGAAACCTAATCTAGCTCCGAGCTGAAGGAAAGGTCCGTCTCCCTGGTGAGATTCCTAATGGCTGGTCGTTCTCCTTAACAGTCCACCCCAGGTGATCTCCTGAACACAGAAATCCAGACTTGCTTGATTTTAACATGCTAAATCCAGTGTCCGGCACCCAGGCATTAGAAGGGCAGTCCAGGCACCCCAAAATCTTGTAGCAAACCCCACAAATAAGAATTCTGCGGCTAAATGCACAAGATGTCTAGATGCAGAGGGTAGATTTTGTGCATCTACGATGCCCATTTTTTTAAAAAAAAACCAGACACCTTTATAGCTAAGACTTCAGAGCTTCTTTTTGAGGGTGGTTCTGGGGTTTTCCTGGCTGCCTCGGGGTCAGGGCGCTTGTCTCGGGCAGGACCCTGACTCATGCCCTCCCTGTGGTTTCCCGCTCAGTACGCCTGCTACGCCATCGGCAAGGACGTGCAAGCCATGAAGGCCGTGGTCGGGGAGGAAGCCCTGTCAGCTGACGACCTCCTCTTCTTGGAGTTTCTACAGAAGTTTGAGAAGCAGTTCATTGCACAAGGTAGGCGGGGGACGGAGGCGGCTGGGAAACGCTGACCTGGGAGGGACCTTTGCCCTCCTCGCTTGGCACCGAGGCGGAAAGGAACACCGTGGCCTTAGAGCAGGGTGAGGGGAACTCAGGACAAATGCGGCCCTCCAGCATCTCTAGCCGGCCCCAGGCCACACCCCTTCCCCCAGGATGAAGCCCCTGCGTTGCATCTTCCTTAAGCGTTTCTGCAGGGCTGGAATGTGCCTCTGGACTTGGTTATTGCCTCTTGCTTGTCTGGGTGGAGAAATAAGGTCTCTCTCTCTCTCGTGTGTGTGTGTGTGTGTGTGTGTGTGTGTTGGAATCTAGACACATATAAAAAACATGGTGAAAATGCTTTTCTTAAAAAGCCTTTTGAAAAATATATTGAGTTTGCCATAAGCTCACCATCGCCATCTAGTGTCACATTTGTAAAGGGAAAGGTACCCCTGGCCATTAGGTCTAGTCATGGCCGACTCTGGAGTTGCGCACTCATCTCACTCTATAGGCCAAGGGAGATGGCGTTTGTCCGCAGACAGTTTTTTCCGGGTCATGTGGCCAGCATGACTAAGCAGCTTCTGGCGAACCAGAGCAGCACACGGAAATGCCGTTTACCTTCCCGCCGGAGCAGTACCTATTTATCTACTTGCACTTTGATGTGCTTTCGAACTGCTAGGTGGGCAGGAGCAGGGACCGAGCAACGGAAGCTCACCCCGTCGCGGGAATTCGAACCGCCGACCTTCTGATTGGCAAGTCCTAGGCTCTGTGGTTTAACCCACAGCGCCACCCGCGTCCCTGTCACATTTGTATAACACACTTAAAACACACTTAAAATGTTATATTTGCAGGTGTATAGCTGAGTCCCAGGTGTTTAAACTACCTTACGTTGCAAAAAGTAGCATGATTGATTGATTGATTGATTGATTGATTCCCCAGCCACTCTGGGCGGCTTTGAACAGAACATTAAAAACAGAATAGAACTTAAACATTAAAATCTTCCCTAAACATCTGTTGCTCCTCCCACTTTTTCCTCTGGTCCCGACCACCACTGCTATGAGGCCCCTGGGAGGCTACCCAGAAGGAAATGTGGCTTATCTGGATCTTATGGGATGATCAAGAGGACAGGTCATAACCAGGCCACGTACATCCTGTACAGTAAATGCACCTGGAGCCCTTCTCTGCCTCACTCAGAGACAACGGCAAGGTCTTAAATGTGTAGTGTTGCCTCTAAACCATCACCTTTTTCTCTTCCTTGTTTTAAATGTGCAATATTAACTGTCTTGGACTGGCTGGATGCAGAGGAACAGTAGGAGGCCCCAGCTCGGGAACCCCGGATGAAGCCCCCCGAGGCATCCCATTGAGGCTCCCATCCTTTGTGTGTGGATGCAAATGCACATGGGTTTGCGTGCTATACTGGGTCTTTGACCCAGGTGAAATAAAGCCTAGTTTCGCCCCTGCCTAAGGGAGGAAGCCTAGTTTCGCCCCTGCCCAAGGGAAGAAGGCTCAGAGTCCGGGGATTGGTGGTGGGACGATGATGAGTGGTCAGAGGGAGAAGATTGGGAAGAGGAGGTGTCAAAAGCTGGAGAGGTAACAGGGCTCTGTGAGCGGGGAGAGTCGGTGGCAGAGAGCAGTCCAGATTCAGAGGCAGAAGCTGAAGCAGGAGAGGAGGGAGACCAAGAGGCAGAGAGGAGTCTGGCTGAGGAAGAATCACAGGTGTCTCCCCCTCCTGCTGAGACCAGCACCCATCCCTGCTGGTCTCCCAGGACCAGAAGAGGCATGAAAAGGGCGGAGGAGAGGTTTAGCTGCAGATAGGCATAGTCTCTGATTGCGTGGGGAAAACCCTGGAGAGGAGGGGACTTAGATGACTGTGGAGAGTCAGGGACCTTTAGTCTCATGGGGGCAAGACCTGCCGGAGATGAGGTGCTGTGCTCATTAGGCCTGACTCTCCTGTGCTTTTACTAATCGAGAGTTAATTCCAGCTTTCTTGCTGGCGATTTACTGCTGGCTGGCTCCTGTCCTTAACCCACCGGCGATGTTGCTTTTCTCCCAGGCGCCTACGAAAACAGGACCGTATTTGAGTCGCTCGACATCGGCTGGCAGCTGCTGCGGATCTTCCCCAAAGAGCTGCTGAAACGGATCCCAGAGAATATCCTGGCAGAGTACTACCCCCGGGAGGCCAGAGGGGCCGAGGGCTCCTCCAACACGGCCCTCTGAGCCTCAGGGCTTGTCCACGCTGGGACGCAACCCACTTAACTGACTTGGCGGCGGGTGGGGTGGCTGGTCCAAGGCTTTGGGGACATTCACACATCACCGCCAGAAAGGGAAATATGAGCATACCCTTTTATCGCAGTGAAATAATCGGTTGTCTGTGCTGTCCTGGTTCAAAATAAAAGTGTCTACTCAAATTGTGAAATGTTTTATTTTTAGAAGCCTTTCTCAGGATGCTTCCTCTCTGCCTCCCCCATTTCCCTACAAGGTGCCACTAAAATCAAAACTGCAGTGCGGTGTAGTGGTTAGAGCATCAGACTAGGACCTGGGAGAGACGAGGGTTCGAATCTGCACTCAGCCAAGAGCCCCTCTGGGAGTCCTGGGGCCAGCCACTCCCTCTCAGCCCAACCTACCTCACACGGTTGTTGTGAGGACAGGACAAGGAGAGAACTGCATTTCCACCTTCAGCTTCTTGGGAGAATGGTGGGCAATAAATGTAATAAAATGAGAGAGAGGGAGAGGCAGCTAAATCTCAGAAATCCTTAAGGCTGACCTCTTAGGGGAAGTCTAAAGAGGAAATGGTGTCTCCTTGGAGGAAATGAGACTTTGCAGGGAGATAACGGGGAGGCGTTGGGGGGGGGCGGGTGTGCCCATGACAGAAGTCATAAAGAAAGGCACCCAGTTCCTGGTTTTCCTGAAACACCCAAGTTGCAACTCTGAGGCAGAAGCCATTGGCAAACACTGCTGGATAGCAGGGCCAGACTCTTAATATTAGGGACTCCTAATATCCACAATATCCTCCTAATATTCGTGACCCCCTGGACCAGAGCATGCCAGGCCCTCCTGTCTTCCACTGCCTCCCACAGTTTGGTCAAACTCATGCTGGTAGCTTCAAGAACACTGTCCAACCATCTCATCCTCCGTCGTCCCCTTCTCCTTGTGCCCTCCAACTTTCCCAATATCAGGGTCTTTTCCAGGGAGTCTTCTCATGAGGTGGCCAAAGTATTGGCTTCAGGATCTGTCCTTCCAGTGAGCACTCAGGGCTGATTTCCTGAAGAATGGATAGGTTTGATAGGTTGGATCTTCTTGCAGTCCATGGGACTCTCAAGAGTCTCCTCCAGCACCAGAATTCAAAAGCATCAATTCTTTGGCAATCAGCCTTCTTTATGGTCCAGCTCTCACTTCAATACATCACTACTGGGAAAACCATAGCTTTAACTATACGGACCTTGGTCGGCAAGGTGATGTCTCTGCTTTTTAAGATGCTGTCTAGGTTTGTCATTGCTTTTCTCCCAAGAAGCAGGCGTCTTTTAATTTGATTGCATATGAGGCGGTAAATCGTATATCTTCTCGCCAGAGTTTCGATGAGCTCTGAAATCTGTTGGCCTCTTGCTAGCTTCTGCAAAAGAGAGCTCCTGGCTGCTGTTGCAAATGCAATTACCAGGTCAGTAAAAAGAAAACCTAGCAGATTTTTTTTTTAAAAAAAAAAAAAGCCCTGTGGCTTCTTGTGACTCCTCTCATGCTGGAGGAGGAGGAGGAGGAGAGGTTTCACTTCCCAGTTCTCTGGGGAACCTTTCGTGCAACTGTGGAGAGAAGGGGCAGAGCAGGCTGGGCAGATCTTGGCTGAGCACAGACAGTCCGGACCTGAATGGAGCCTCTGGTGGAGGATCTCAGCCAGCTGGCAGGTAAGGATGGGAAATCTGCCTGCCCCAAAAGCAGGTTGAGAGGGGAAGCATGGTAAACACTGTGGCATAGTGGTTAGAGCAGGGGTAGGCAACCTAAGGCCCGTGGGCTGGATGCGGCCCAATCGACTTCTCAATCCAGACCGCAGACAGTCCAGGAATCAGCATGTTTTTACATGAGTAGAATGTGTGCTTTTATTTAAAATGCATCTCTGGGTTATTTGTGGGGCATAGGAATTCACTCATATATTTTTTTCCAAAATATAGTCCAGCCCCCCACAAGGTCTGAGGGACGGGGGACCGGCCAATGGCTGAAAAAGGTTGCTGACCCCTGGGTTAGAGTGTCAGGCTGGGTCCTGGCAGACACGGATTCAAATCCTCCCGTGGCCCCAAAGTTCTTAGGGTTGCCATATTTCATGTGAAAATCAAGACACATAAAATAAAATCATCATTGTTGATGTTGTTGTTGTTTTTATACCCTGCCCATCTGACTGGGTTTCCCCAGCCACTCTGGGCGGCTTCCAGCATATAAAAAAACATAGTAAAACATTAAACCTTAAAAGCTTCCCTAAACAGAGCTGCCTTCAGATGTCTTCTAGTCAGACAGTTGTCTATTTCCTTGACATCTGATGGGAGGGCGTTCCACAGGGCGGGTGCCACCACTGAGAAGGCCCTCTGCCTGGTTGCCTGTAACCTCACTTCTTGCATTGAGGGAACTGCCAGAAGACCCTCGGAGCTGGACCTCAGTGTCCGGGCTGAACGATGGGCGTGGAGATGTTCCTTCAGGTCTACTGGCCAGAGGCCGTTGGCAGAGTTGTTGAGCTTATTCTGCAACATCTCAAAAAAGAAGTTGTTTTGAGCTATTTTCCTGGACGTTCAAGCTATTTCCGCCTGGGCAATGTTTACGAGAGTAGTATCCCGTCAATGTCCTGGAAATTTCGGACGTATGGCAGCCCTAAGCTGCAGTGGGCAAGTTATGCTATGTGCCTTGATGGATAACCTAAGATGCTAAGGCAGTGAAGGAAAGAATGAAAAGAATGTTGCCGAAAGGAGGTTGTAAAGGTATAAAGTCGTGAAGATGTGTGAAGGAATTTGCAGACACCAGTAAATGAACCCGTGGCCTTGCTCTCCCTCACTCCCTGTCTGTGAAGTAGCCTTTTGCTTTGTGCAATAAGGCCTGGTTGCAATTCTGCTTGTTGCAAGACTTAATTTCCACACGTGTGCAAAGCTAAGGTGGGGGAATTCCTCTGTAGGAGCCCATGCAATTTATTGACCTGCGGACTCCACTTTGGAGGGTCCCCGCTTCAGATGCCACTTGGCCCCAAGTGTTTATGTGGTCTTAACATCGCAACTGGGGACGCGGGTGGCGCTGTGGGTAAAACCTCAGTGCCTAAGACTTGCCGATCGAAAGGTCGGCGGTTCGAATCCCCGCGGCGGGGTGCGCTCCTGTTGCTCGGTCCCAGTGCCTGCCAACCTAGCAGTTCGAAAGCACCCCCGGGTGCAAGTAGATAAATAGGGACCGCTTACTGGCGGGAAGGTAAACGGCGTTTCCGTGTGCTGCGCTGGCTCGCCAGATGCAGCTTTGTCACGCTGGCCACGTGACCCAGAAGTGTCTCCGGACAGCGCTGGCCCCCGGCCTCTTAAGTGAGATGGGCGCACAACCCTAGAGTCTGTCAAGACTGGCCCGTTCGGGCAGGGGTACCTTTGCCTTTTAACATCGCAACTGAAGGAAATCCACTGTATGACTTTGGGCCAGTGACCTCCCTCACAGGGTGGTTGTGAGGACAACGTGGAGAGGGGGAGAGCTGCAAGAACTGAATGTTTCAGAAGGAGAGAGGAGATTTCTAACTAGCGATATGACGATCAAGGACAGATGGATTGATGGGCTGATGGGAGTTGTAGTCCAGAACATCTGGAGGGTGCCAAGTTGGAGGAGGCTAGCAGAGCCTCAGTGCTGCCCCTGGGCATTTCGTGGCGACGTTCTCTTTCTGTTCTTCTGCAGCCATTTTGGAATCTGACAGTGACTCCGATTCGGAGAAAGATGAAGAAGCCGAGGTATGTGGGTCCTTTCATTTTTTTAATTCATTTATAAAATATTTGTATATTTGATGCAGTTTCAAGCATAAAAACATAAAACCATACAATAAAAAGCACAATAAAAAGGGTTTTAAAAAAAAATAAATCAATGATCAACAAAATAAGCGTCTATTCCTCATGGGGAAAGAATGGGAAACAGATGTCAGGGTCAGGTTCTGGAGTGAAGTCCCGGCAAATCGTGACTCAAAGAAAGTCCTGTTCTCAAAACCATTGACTGTGGCTTTCTAATCACTCCCAGTGTTTTGCTTCAGAGGGCAGGACTCAAACCCGTGCATTCAGATGATGAGAAATGAGACCTTTTTGACAGTAAGAGCTGTCCAACAATGGGATAAACCACCTCCTTCCTTGGGAGTTTTTAAGCCAAGGTCGGGCGGTCCTCTGTCAGGGTTGCTTTAGTTGTGATTCCTTCATTGCAGGGGGTTGGACTGGATGACCTTTAGGGGTCCCTTCCAGAATTCTATGATTCTAAATTCTGGGGTGGGGAAACGATTTTGAAGTCTGCATGAGCAGCAGTGCTGCGGATGGGATGGTGGGGATGATTGCTCAGCAAAAGCAACTCTGCTGGCAGGACTGGAATCGGAAACATCAGTGACCCAGAAACATTTATTCCCTTCCATCCTCCAGGAAGCGGCTGCTTGTCAGGAAAGGGATGAAGCCAAGAAAAAGCTAGCCGAATTTGAGTATGGTAAGCATAATCTGTTGGGGTGTTAATGCTGCGAACCCCTTACGCTCAGGTTGCATAGATGTATAAATACAACTCTAAATCCCGAAAACGCCACAGTCTCTGCTGGTTCTCATTCCAAGGAAACCAAACCTGCTGAATGCCTGGAGCAGGGGTCCCCAAACTAAGGCCTGTGGGCAGGGTAAGGCCCGAGGGACTCGTTTATCCAGCCCATGGCGACCTCTGCTGCCTGCTGCCGCCGCCTGCTCTTACCAGCGCTGCGCTGCGCGGCTGCCCACGTCCGGGTCGGAGGAGCACCGGAAATATCTTGTGCACATGCACAAGCATTATTTGCACATGCGCAAGTGTTATTTCCGGTGCACATCCGGGTCGGAGGAGGCCCGTGCACATGCGCACAAGCTATTTCCAGTGCTCCTCCAACCCAAAAGTGTGCCAGAAATAGCATGTGCGCACGTGTATGGGCACGTGCTCCCCCGCCCTCCGGCCCACCGTGCGATTGGCACTGGAGACACCGGCCCGAGGGGCAGTAAGTTTGCTGACCGCTGGCCTGGAGCCTCTCGCTGCTCAGAGATTGGGATGGCAACTAGCTGTGTCCTGCATTTCCTGATCCCGAGTATTCACAGTGGTGAACCTCAGGATGAGAGGGGGCGATTGCACCCGTGTCCGGCTTGTGGGCATCTCAGAGGACTCTGATCAGGTGTTTTGGGAACAGGGTGCAGAACCAGGACCCAGGCATATGGGATTTGTGGATGTGCTCAGGACACTTCCGTTGTTGGCAGGGTCTTTTCAGTAGTGGCCCCGACTTGTTGGAAAGCTCTGTCACAAGAGACTAGGGCCCTGCGGGACTTGACGTCTTTCCGCAGGGCCTGCAAGACAGAGCTGTTCCACCTGGCCTTTGGTTTGGACTCAGTCTGACCCTTATGTTTCCTGCCCCTTATGGTTTTGATCTATGGGCTACTTTTAAAACGAGGCTGCATTTTAAATTGCATTTTAACCTGTATTTTAAATTGGTTCCCCCTCCCATTATGTTTTTACTGTAATTTTACTGGTGTTAGCCACCCTGAGCCCGGCTCTGGCCAGGGAGGGCATGGTATAAATAAAATTATATTTTATTTTTATTATTATTATTATTAGTGGGGCAATAAGAGGCAAGACTACCAGACTTTGGAAATCTGGTATCATTGGATCAAGTTCACCAGCTTTGTCCAATGGATTAAACAGAATACGTTTAATGTGTAAATTAATATGGTTTATTTGTTTGCTTGGTTGTTGTTGTTGTTAATTGAATTTGTATACCGCCTTTCATCCGCAGATCTCAGGGTGGTTCACAACACCTGAATAGTTTAAATAAATGTGCAATTAATGGTTTCTGTTTTGAATTTGATTGTGTTTTATTATTGTTATGTATTCAGTGGCCTGTGTTGGCCTGAGCTTGAGTCTCCACTAAGGATTCTGAGCTCCTGTGTTCTAGTTCGATACATGATGTCCAATCACAGAACATTTTAGGATTTGGGCCTCTGCCATTGGCCCTTGAACTCTGAGTCGTGATTCGCAGCTTGGAAGTTTAGATAGCCAATCACGTTGGGAGTGGGAGGGGCACAGGCTTTCAGGAATGTATATAAGCAGTTGCATTGCCCCTGTTTCCCAGTTATGTAGCTCAATAAAGGTTCTTGCTGTTATTGAGCCTTGTGGGAACCGGCCTACACTTTAGTTATCTTCCTTAGAGGGTCGTGCAAACTGCTATTCTGAAGGATGCTTTTTGCAGGGTAGGGTCATGGGCATTGAGGATCAATTTATGTCACCAAGTGGGGAAAGTCTGGGGAAACTGCTCTAGAGATGATCTTCAGCCTTCCCCCTCCTTTCATTCCCAGCTTCGCAGGCTTTGCTCGCTGAGCTGTCCACCCTGGAAGCAGAGTATGAAATCGAAAAGTCGTGCCGAGAACAGGCAGAAGCCTACGCAGCCCAGGTGAACCAGGCGAGCTGGTGGACATGGCAAGGCGTCTAACCTGGGAAACAGCTGTAACTCAGGAGTCTAGCCCTTGTTTTGCATGCAAAGAATCCCTGCTCCAACCCCACATACAGCAAATGACTTTAGATACCTATTTTGTTGTTGTTTAGTCATATTAGGCGTGTCCAACTCTTTGTGACCCCCTGGACCAGAGCACGCCAGGTACTCCTGTCTTCCACTGCCTCCCACAGTTTGGTCAGACTCATGCTGGTAGCTTTGAGAACACAGTCCCCAACCATCTCGTCCTCTGTCGCCCCCTTCTCCTTGTGCCTCCATCTTTCCCAACATCAGGGTCTTTTCCAGGGAGTCTTCTCTTCTCATGAGGTGGCCAAAGTATTGAGTCTCAGCTTCAGGATCTGTCCTTCCAGTGAGCACTCAGGGGCTGATTTCCTTTAGAATGGAGAGGTTTGATCTTCTTGCAGTCCATGGGACTCTCAAGAGTCTCCTCCCAGCACCAGAATTCAAAAGCATCAATTCTTCTTTATCAATTCTCAGCCTGGTCCAGCTCTCACTTCCATACATCACTACTGGGAAAACCATAGCTTTAACTATATGGACCTTTGTTGGCAAGGTGATGTCTCTGCTTTTTAAGATGCTGTCTAGGTTTGCCATCGCTTTTCTCCCAAGGAGCAGGTATCTTTTAATTTCGTGACTGCTGTCACCATCTGCAGTGATCATGAAGCCCAAGAAAGTAAAATCTCTCACTGCCTCCATTTCTTCCCCTTCTGTTTGCCAGGAGATGATGGACCAGTGGCCATGATCTTCGTTTTTTTGATGTTGAGCTTCAGACACATATTTTGCACTCTCCTCTTTCACCCTCATTAATAGGTTCTTTAATTCCTCCTCACTTTCTGCCATCAAGGTCATCTGCATATCCAAGGTTGTTGATATTTCTTCCAGCAATCTTAAATTCCGGTTTGGGATTCATCCAGCCCAAACAGAGACAATTTGTTGTTCATCCAGCCCAAACAGAGACAATTTGTTGTGACAAAGGACAGCTGGACATAGAAAGGGCCCCATTACCTTCAGTAGCCGAGGGCCTCATCAACCTAAATCTGGCCCTGTGTCTCCTGCAGGAGTGAGTTCCATAGTTTAACTTTCTTTTATCTGTCCCGCAAGACACCTTGGTTTGCAGCCCAGTCTCTGAGCCACCCTTCCACTGTGATCATCCTGGGCTTACCTTTGCCATTGCATCCCGACTCCTGCAGGTGAGCCAGAGAGAACAAGAAGCTGAAGCGCATCAGCGCGGCTTTGCTGCCCATGCTCACCCACCTCCCGGCGGGACCTCATCGACCCGGGCAACGAGGAGGAGATCCCCACCGAGGAAGTCCTGGATCCAGTGGGCCAATACCTGGCAGCAAATCAAAGGTGAGCCATGTTGTCGCTTCCCCTCTGGCTCAAAGGCCACCAAAGGGGGAGCTGCTGCTGCTGCTGCTGTAGAATGGCAGGGAGAGGTCTGGGCAAGGGACTGTGCAAAAATGCACTGATCCTGCAACAGTGGAGAAGACCAACCTTGGAGGAAGAGAGGAAGCATCCTTAAGGATGGAGAGGCAGTGTTCAAGAGATGCCTCTCATAATAATTTATATATAATAATTTATTATTTATACCCCACCCATCTGGCTGGGTTTCCCCAGCCACTCTGGGCGGCTTCCAACAGAATATTAAAATGCAATAGTCTATTAAACATTAAAAGCTTCCCTAAACAGGGCTGCCTTCAGATGTCTTCTAAAAGTCAGATAGATGTTTATTTCCTTGACATCTGGTGGGAGGGTGTTCCACAGGGCGGGTGCCACTACTGAGAAGGCCCTCTGCCTGGTTCTCTGTAACTTGGCTTCTCGCAGCAGCGGAACCGCCAGAAGGCCCTCAGAGCTGGACCTCAGTGTCCGGGCAGAACGAAGGGGGTGGAGACGCTCCTTCAGGTATACTGGAACCTTCAGGTATACTAGATCTCACACCCCTTCGGTGACCCAGCTGCAACACAACAGCCCTGCAGTGCTGTCCGAGGGTCTGATAGTTGCTGCCACTCCCCTCCCACTTGCTCCAGCCATTGCCAGATGGGAGGGGATCTACTGTTAGAATTCCTGCTCCGTGATTGCAGTCATGGGATTGTTGTCTTTCACATGACGGGGTATGTTTTGACTCCACAGAGTGGGAAGCTACGGAGACAGGATGTTTGTGTTACTGTGTTCCGTGAAGTGGGACTATTGTCCTTTGTTCTTTTTCTCTTTGCTGTCTGATGCTAGAGAGAGAGGGAGCCATGTTGCAGTGCTCCGTGTGTGTTGATATGTAAATAAAGTAGATTAGCCAAAATGCTGAGTTGCTGAGGTCTGTTACGCATGCTGCACAAACTCTGTGGATCCCTAAGTGTGCTGGTATCTGTTCGCATCGGTCGCTGTGATGTCGGGCTGAAGAAAGCTTTTGAAGCTCCCAAACGATTGACCAGGAGGGAGAGAAACATGCCAGTTGGGCATGTGTCCTCTGCCAGAGTCCTACTCAAGCGCAGGCTGACCTCCTGACACCTGCAGGGCAGAACTCAGGTCGTTCAAAATTTAAGCAAATTTGGGGGGCCCCACCTCTTGCCTTCTGTTCTGCACATGCAACTGTGTGTGTGTGTGTGTTTATTCCTGCATTGCAGGGGGTTGGACTCTCAAGGCCATCCACATTGGTGGCCCTCGCTGCCTCCTGTGTCAGGGAGTTCCCCTGTTTAACCACAAGATGTGTGAAGAACTTTCTTTTACCTGTGCCGACTTTTCCAACTTT